GAACTTGAGAAGGAGCACCACAAATGCCTTGATCTGAAGTGATGTCTTGGGTGAGGCTGACCCCAGAACTCCTTCAATACTGCTTTTTTTTCATATCAAAACCCCTGCACCAAACGGACCAAACGAGTCTTGCTCACTGCAAGACAAAATGTGTTATGAGGAGCTTCAACCTTTCCTTACCCGCTATAGTTACAAACCAATCGGTGGGTTTTGTGAGAGCTACACCGCGTACACTGTCATCTTCCTCCTGCTGCTCTGCATCGCAAAGTTGTGGAATCCGTTGATCAGCTGGCTGGACCAGGAGTGGGAAAGCTTTTGCCATGCAATCCTAAGTGACAGGTGAGATGCACCTGTAGATTTTNGGGATTAATAGTGCCCCAAGCACAATTAATCTGGGATTAATAGTGCCCCAAGCACTATTCATCTGGGGTCAATAGGCTTTCAAGCACTATATATATGTATACCCTGAGCACTATCAATCTTGATTTTGCAAGCACTATTAATATGGGTTCCCCAATGAATAGCTACCAGGTTGTCCCAAGTAACACTAATCCCCATGCCACAAGCACTCTTCATCTGGGGTATTTAAGCACAATTCAACTTTGATTGATTAATCTTGCATTAATTGTGTCCCAACAAGTTTTTTTAACTGAAATTTATTTTGAGTCAAGCACCCTGCAATAGTTCCCCCAGAACTCTTCCATCTGGATGAATATTCCCCCAAGAACCTCCTATGCTTGACTTCTAATGACTCATTAACCATTAAGAAGAGTTGATTTGATTTGATGTGATTGAATATTGGGCCACAGGCACTTTCAACATGAGTATTTAGGATCAACTGTTTCCAAAAACTTTTAATCTAATTTCATAATATATCATGGAATAATATTTCAATTCAATCTTAATACATGATCAAAAGTTGCAAGGAAATATGAAATACTGATCCCCAGTTTCTAGGCAGTTTTTCTGCTGAATAGATCCAAGACACTATTAATTCTTCATGCCATGATTCCTGAAGAATAATTCCCAGGTAATATTAACCCCAGTGGATATATGAATACCCATTGTATTAATTTATTTTCCATAAGTATTGATCCCTGTGGCATTCTTAATCCATGTAGTAGTATTAATTATTTTGGAGTACTCATCCCTGTGGCAGTCTCAATCCCATGGAGCTATTCATGAGACGTTTGGAAATCTTAATAATAATTCAATAGTGCCTTGGAATCATTCATCTCTGGAAATAAAATTTTTGGATTTTCTTTTTTTCACTGTTTATCACCCAGGAGCTTGACTTACATGAAATGATGTCAGTGGGAGAAACCTACTAATAATACTTTACTGAACATCACAAAGCCTCACTCATCCCTAATATGCACTAGAGAGGCATCTATTGAAGTATGTTGATTCTGAGAAAGATGGTTCATCAAATCAATTCACATTGTTCCATCATGTGGCTTGTCACATGATTATTTATTCATCTTGTAAATTTCTTCCAGTTGTGATAAATAGTCTAAATCTTTATTTGCTATTCAACTTCTGGCCTTAGGGGGAAAACACCTACAAGATTCTTGAAATATACACATCTGGGTCAAGTGAGAAAAGAATTACAAAAATATTGAAGTATACACCTGGTGATGCGGTTATCAACAGTGTTCCAAATAAGAAGCATGCCGGTGATTAATTATGTAGTTGAGATAAATCATGGAGTTGGAGCATGCTTTAGGTTGAAGATGATTTGTTGCGTGTTTTTTGGAAGGTACCAATCCCAATAGCCACAGGTCACCACCCATCATGCCAACTACAGATATAAGCATGAGACACAACAGAACCCTTCCGAGGAAAATAGATAGTATGGACGAAAGTAAAAAATCTAATCGGAAAAACCTCAAGGAGGCTCTGAGGAATTCACCTTTTGGGTGTTGAATTGGATTGGAGATGAGGTCAGGTTTCTGTTTTTCGACTTGATATTGTAGTCTTTGTATGAAATTCTCCCTATCGGACAGCTGGGAAGCGAGCAATTGGTTTTGCTGTCGTAATTTGGATCTGGACTGACGACAATTCTTCAGTGTGCGGGTTAATATTTCGATCCGTTTGTGGCATGCACTTTGGGAAAAAGATGCAATGTAAGGAGCATCAACTCAGAACTGAAACATCGGATTTTTGCCTTTACGGTGGTAAATTGGCAGGTGATTAGTCCCCATGCATTGCAAATCAAATTCATTGACGGTCATGTTTATGTACTCACATGGCAATCCTTTGATGGGCAGCAGTCGGTTGAAGTTCATTTGCGGTTTGATAAACGGTGTGTTGGCATTTATGTGAACTTCTAGAGACATTGCGGGTTAGTGTGGAGCCAGGTAAAGATATGATGAAGGGCACCTGACTCACCCTTCAAATTCATTGCCAAGGGGGCCCTAAATGCTACAACAGATGATATCGTATCTTGCCCAGAGACTTGAGATGAAATTTTCTTGTTTGGTTTCTGTGGTATACAGATTCTCTGTGCTTCGTAAAGAACCTGGGCCACTTTCGATAAGGTAAATTCAACATCCGGATTCCTCGCAGCAAAGCGTTTGTATTCGTCCAGAATGTTCTGTGATGTTGCATAGGAAAGTCGGAAATGAGGACTGGTAATGATTGCAGGTACGTTTGAACATGCAATCCAAGTCATTTCGTTGATAAGGTGAGGGTTCTATTGGTGCAAAGCGTAAGTCTTCACGAGCGCCAAGAGTAATTCTGACTGGGAAAACTGGTCAGATAAATGAGGAGGCTTTCAGTAGCATATATGTTCGTTTCTTTCTCAGTTGGGCTGCGTACCAATTGTGACATCTGGCGGCTATTATCTATCCAAGGAATGATGTTTCATACTTCCTGTCCGGTTGTTAATTGGGCTTCTGGTGTTAGTTGCCTTTGGGGATTGACTTGAAAATAAACGCCGGGATTCTCAAACCGTCCCCTTTGACCTCGTAGTATCAGCTGCCAAAGTGACAGGTGCCATTGTGGAAAACCCGGCTGCAATAGCAAAGGAATCATGAATAACGGCGGATCTATTTTAGTCCACTTCTGTGACCTGCAAAGCGCCAGCGCCTTCCCCTAAACAATCCTCATTGATTTCCTCTCTACACTGTCAACTTCACCAAACTCATCACTTTCACCCAAGGCCAAGCATTCCAACCGCGGTAATCACTCATCTTTACTTCAAGTACATCTTTTGTGATGTAATATGAAGCTCATGCATTTCTTTTTTTTTTCTGCAAACAGTTGAATTGCTTGCACTTTTTGCAGTACTTGTCCTTCTGGGAGCACTGGCCGACCCCAGAACTTCTTCAATCCTGCTTTTGCTTGATATCAAAACCCCTGCACCAAACAGACCAAATGAGTCTCGCTCACTGCGAGACGAAATGTGTTATGAGGTCCTTCGACCTTTCCTTACCCGCTATGGTTACAAACCAATCGATGGGTTTTGCGAGAGCTACACCGCGTACACTGTCATCTTCCTCCTGCTGCTTTGCATTGCGAAGCTATGGAATCCGTTGATCAGCTGGCTGGACCAGGAGTGGGAAAGCTTTCGCCATGCAATCCTAAGTGACAGGTGAGATGCACCTGTAGATTTTCATTACAAAAAATGATATCGGGGTAGCTGACCCGAAATGCTCCAGTGGTTTTTGAACCAAAACAATGCTCGATTCATTGTTTTGGTATCTCCTGGATTCTCACTGGTGACAAACCCATCTCTTAGGAGGATTCTTTTTGAGATATTCTTGTAAATGTCTTTCATTTAATTCAATTATAGATGGAGCTTCTTTAATAGAGGTGTGGCAGTTCATTAGCAAAAGTCAGGAGGGCATTTCGGCGGCAACGTGTAACCAAGGCAGCACTGCAGCTGGAAAGAGGCAGTGCTGTTAAGGGGAGGGGGAGGGGGGCCAGCTACACAGGCAGCTAAGTGAGATGGTGGAGGTCATAGATCTACAGGCAATGCTAAAACACAGCTAAAGGTCACTCACGGGGAGGCAGGCACATTCACTTGCCCGAAGACATGCAATCCAGTGATTTCTTCTTGAGATTCTCTGCCCTTTCTTCTTCATCTTCTTCTCCCCTCAGTCTTAGACTTCAAGCTCAGAAAGCCAAAAACTCAACACAATATGTTGTGACTGAGATGATAGATTGCTAACTGGGGAATGTACAAAGGTGCAGAGGCTGAAGATAATCCCGCAGTTGGGGAAACCCGTGGCAAGTCCCAGGGGGGCTGCAAGATCATAACATAAGGATGAAGGGCACAATGGTAAGACTTTTTTCAGTCTTTTCTTCACTTTTTAGTTGAATAATTTTGTGATTTTTCATCTTAATAGAGATAGAAAATGAAAAATAAGAAATAATGGACTACTGAACCTGATTGATATGAGAATCTACATTAAAATAACGCCTCCTTGTTACTCTGACACACACAACTACACACTTATATGAATGGATGAGATAAAAAATAAGAAAAGAAAACATAATTAAATATTTAGAGTTTAGATTAAAAGGTGGGAGAATAACAACCATACCTGCAATAAGCAGTGACAAGTGATGATTTGGAATATGGATGAAGGAGGCAATGGTGAGATTATGATGGGAGAGATAGACAGCAAAGAAAACAAAAAGAAGTTATTTCTTTGCTTGAGTGATTGAGGTTCAAGTTGTTGAAAGGACTTTCCAGTCTTTTCTTCACTATTTAGTTAAATAATTGCATGGCAAAAAGACTGGCTTTGTGGCGGATTTGATTTTTACAATGAGGAAGCTGGTTTTGGGTTAGGTTTTGAAAATTGAAGTGAGAATTGGATATTCACAATGGATTGTGCTGTGCTAGAAAAAGGCATAATTCAACAAAAGTTAAGAGAATGTACTTTCATGTGGATGCCTGGAAAACGGGTTGAGGTACAAGTTAGTGTGCTACCATGATGTATCACCCCAATTGAACCATGAACACTACTGCCCAAGAACCATGGCCACCGCAAGCGTCTGTAGCCTGGTTGCTTAAGGCAGCACTCTGGTATGCGTCTTAGCATTGCTGAGGTTGTGGGTTCAAGTCTCACCAGTCACATCTCCATTTTCACAGTCTCTACAAAACATCCCTTGCTAAATGCAACAGGAATAAGAAACCTTTTTAACAGTACTGCATGTCAACCTCCCCTGGTTGGGTGAACATTTTTGTGAAATCACTATATGTGTAGTTGCACATATATATGCTCCTGCTTAGTTTGGATGTTTCCTCCTGAATTTGGGGTCACTACCCAACAGGTTTTGGTCTCATTTTTTTTCTCCATGAACAAGACCAACAAGTGTCAAGTTGGAAGTTGTTGTTCAAGAACTTGGAGTAGCTTATGTTGGATTTATTTTCTTTCTCAAATCTTACTCATCACAAAAATAGCCATCACCTCTTTTCCCACTCCACAAGATCCTTGAATGCAGTTTCACAGAAATCAGGGATATCTTGTCTTGCATTTCAAGAATGTGGACCTTCTGATTTGTCATGTCAAGCCCTTCTCAATATAACCTCTTCATCTTTCATCTAGTCTCCTTTCCCCTTATCTGTTCTCAAGCTCTTTTCCCAATTTATTTTGCACGTAGCTCTTTAATTTTTTTCCCTGACAACTCAACCATTTGTTGTTAGCTAACTTTAACTTACCTGAACCAGAGTAATCCACCTCCCGTTCTTTCCCTTATTATTCACTCCCCTCTGTCCAGTGCTGGTCATAACCTCCCCAACATCATCTGCTTATTTAAACCTGTAAACCAAAGAGTTGAAAGCAATAAATATGCCTAAATATTCATGGAATTAATCATCAGAATGTTTCAAAAAGAGACATATTGATCTATTTCAGATTATCCAAAATATTTAACACTTCCTCAAAAACATGCTGAAATTTTAGACAGTACACAGAGGCATGAGAATAAGGAGAAGAAAGGCAAAATTTTCCATAGGATTTGAAGCCCTGTTTCAGGAAATTACATAAATTTGGCTATCCAAGAGTTTTAACCTGTAATCTGACAATGGAAGCAGGTTTAAGACCAATCTTGAACCCCTCTCTTCTGAGTATTGAAATTGAAGTTGTTTTTGGTTCCAAAATTGTCTTTCAATATCATTCTTATGAAGACATGCATTGTTGTGCCCTTCACTTTTTTTCCATTTTTTGGTAGTTTTGAAGATGTTGGAGAATGTACAACAAGTGTGCCATGTTTGTTGATGTTGTGGCTATTTTTCATTAGTAGTTTTTTCACATTCAATATGTGAGGTCATCCTGAATACCTGAACCAAGATTTGAACCTACAAGTTTGTTGGTTGGGCTTCTGGAAAACAAAACATTAGGCCCAAAACTGTTGGATGGTGACTGTATATGAGCATGTGCCAGCTTGAACTATGTTTTTCCAGTGGAACCGGATGGAGAGATCAACGCATTGGTGTGGGCACCCAGGTCTCATGAACCATTCAAAAGCAAAACCCGGTGAATCTCATTTACCTAGGCTAGGCAACTTGCTGACAGGGGCGCATGGGTTCCGAGGAGTCAGACTGGCCCAACACAATGGTTACCCTTCTGCGGCTTGAGAGAAAAGAAAAATAATGTAATACCGAATGGACAGGTGATTGAGAATGAAGAGTGATTAAGGATACATCGAGGTGGTTAGCAGATGGCCTTGGGCAAACTGGTGCTCAATTGTTTTCCGCTTGCGTCTAAACCGGGGAATGCGTGTATTGTCGGGCTTGTTCTTTCCTCACAAGAGCCTCCCATTGGTCCTTTTGTGTCCGATAAATTGCAAGAGTTGCTCTGGCATCATCGACCTTGGGACCAGAACCGAGGGGTGTCAATCAAGTCTGCACATTTGGGAGGAAGGCGCTTTTCTGATTGATGTGGAAGAGGGGAAGCGACATACCGAACAATGTGAATCTTTCTGGATTTCGACATCCAGGAGGAGTAAAGCCAGTTTTTTTAGACTCGGGAATTTCGTCTTGGCAAGTTTACGAAGCGGCTGGTAGGTCGATGTATCTCGAATCATCTGCCGAGGATGAGTCAGCAGTAAAGCCTTGTTGTCATCATTGTAAAATGTTCAGTTAGCGAATAGGGAAGCAACCACGACAAGAAACATCTGGAGGGGAAAAGCCAGACGAAATGATGTCGAGAACAAGCTCACTTGGAGATCATTTGTAATGGCATGGCCGATGAGGACTTTATTGCGAGTCAAGTCTGCTACTTTGCGCGTGACATCTTCGAAACTACTGGCTTTGATGAACATTTTGTCTTAGCCAGGGAAAATGAAAGCGAGAAAGAAGTTCAATTTGGACAAACCATTTTCCAAGTGCTCCGGCTTAATCCCACTGACCCAAGTGCGATAATCCCGTACCTTCTCTTTCGGCTGTACGTAGGTGTCCAAAACGATGTTCCCGTAGTAGTTTACGATGCTCACCCTAGCCAACGCGCTCTCCTCTGCATCCCGGGGCCCAACACCTACCATCTCGCAATCTATGGCCAGGTATTTTCCTACTCTTGAACCAGGGAAGGCAGTTTTTTTAGTCTATCATCTCGCAGGGGGGGGGGGCAAAAACCAGACGGCTGGGCGTACTCTGTTTGTTTTGAGGTGGCGTGCTGAGTAGGATTGTTCTGAAGAAATTGGAGTAGTTTCTGGGACGTCGAACTAGATGACGCTGATGGGATAGCGCTTCCGATGGAGGTTGTGGACTGATTATTGCGGGTAGTGAGTATCGCTTCATTCCGGAGTTGCTTCTTTTGGGCGTTTCTTGCTTTCACTGCGGCTGGTAATTTGGGGAGCACCTGTTACGCGAGCTCAGCGTGTTGATTGCAATCGTAGTGAAAAATCTTCGCAAAATATCTACCGTTTGTAGAGTTTTCCAATTTGACGAGGCTCGTCCAGGTTTTCCACGCGTTCGCCGAGAAGACCTCGCAGGCACTTCCACCATGTTCGTTCGAGGCCTGAAGATGTGTGAGACCAGAAGCTTTTTGGAAATCGATAACGGCTGGAGGATGAGATCCTGACAGAGACGCATAAACATGAAAGAAAATTCTCACCGCAGGTCGCAGTGGGCAGGACTGAGTACCCGGTCCCCCCGCCTAAACTTCGGTACATAGGGCAAAAACCGGCAGCGTCCGCCCTTCAAATGCACTAAATGCAAAAGGATTATTGAGATGGCAGAAGAAAATTTAGGAGAACATCCTACCCATGATCAAGTACATTTGCAGTATCAACTCAATGGATTGCATTCTGTCATACTTCATGGGTATTAGATTGAGGTGTACAGTTGCAGTCATGGCAGGCAAAGTGCAAAAGTTGATCTATGGGTGGGGGCTAATGTGATATTAATTTACTATAGGCCAGAAGCCCAGGGATTTTTTTAGAGTCAGTAGCACCATGCCTAATACTCCATGTCAAAACATGCCAGGTGACATGCAGTTAAATTGTTTGTTACTCTGGTGCTATTCCATTTTATTAA